TTCCTCGAGGATCTTTTCACTTTTTCTGTATGTCCAACAGAACATGGACGGGCCAGTGGCGCAATGGATAACGCGTCTGACTACGGATCAGAAGATTCCAGGTTCGACTCCTGGCTGGCTCGGTGTGTGGTTCCATTTCTTTTGGATTTGTGTATATTGTTTTTTACTTAACAAAAAAAAAATTTCAGATTGTTGTACCCATTTGCTGTCAGAATAGAAAGAATCAAAATACATTCCTGTGCTTACTATAAGGATCCCCGTAGACCATCATCTATAGACCTCCTCTACCGAGAAGAAAAGAGTGTAGCAGAGGATGGTTTCGATCCATCGACCTCTGGGTTATGGGCCCAGCACGCTTCCGCTGCGCCACTCTGCTCCTAGCCAGGTCTGCTTCTAATCTCTATTTGACATTCCTCTATTCCATTGTGGTTTTTTTTTTTTTTCCAATCTTTTGTAAATTGTTGCATAGATATGTAATCTTTTTTAAATGTTCATGGATCGAGACCACTACAACAAACTATTGCCAAGTAGAAAAAGGAGACTGTAGATATGGTTCACTGGTTAAGAGTACTGATTGTAATATTCCCAGCACCCACATAATGGCTCATAACCATCTGTATGTTCAGTTCCAAGGGACTCAATACCTTCTTTTGATTTCCATGAGCACGTGGTACATATGCATCAGGTATTCATACACAGAAAATACATATTTAAAAAAAAGAAAGGAAGGTAGAAGGGGGAGGAAGGAGAGAGAGAGAGAGAGAGAGAGAGAGAGAATAGGCAATAGCCATACATCACTGATGGCAGCAGCCTTTAATTCCAGCACGGGGGAGGCTCAGTTCAAGGACAGTTTGTTCTACAGGGCGAGTTCCAGGACAGCCTGGGCTACACAGAGAAACCCTGTCTCGATAGATAGATAGATAGATAGATAGATAGATAGATAGATAGATAGATAGAGATAGATAATGGGTAGATAGACATATATAATGATTGATAGGTAGATAGATGATAGATAAATCTTTTGCTGTGTGTCGTACCTCATCTATAACATCTACTGGTAGACTAAATTCCTGATTTTAAAAGCCATCAATACAAATTAATTGCAAGTCTTCTGAAGAAATAAAGATGCTGGTGCTCTGTTGGATGCATCATTCCTAGAATTCAGGGGCCTAACTACATTCAGGTCCCCTGCCTCTAGAAATGAAATAACTACATTCTAGTTTTTGAGGAGATGGGGCACTCTGGTACGGAAACGCTAATTGGAGGAGAGAAGCACTTGATCCAACTGGCGTGAAAGCCCTAGATCTAAGGGCCAACAAAATTGGAGAGAGTGCCCCATGCATAGACCTATAGCATAGCATGGAGTTGAATACCGGTGGGTACCTACTTGCTGGGGTGTGTGTACGAATCTGTCAACCAAGGAGGGTAGTTCTTTCAGAGTATAAAATTTGCTGACCCCGACGTGATTTGAACACGCAACCTTCTGATCTGGAGTCAGACGCGCTACCGTTGCGCCACGAGGTCTTCCTAGGTAAGCAGTTTAATTGCTGCCTAATCAAATCTATATAATTATCTTCTCGTCTTTTAGGAGCTCGGTGACGAGTGGTCTTGACAAGTTCCTTTCTTCTCCTCCTGTTCCCCAATGAACAGTAACCAATGCAGGCTCTGAACTCTGTAAAGGAGACTGTGGATTCGTGCTAGCGGCTCCGGGAAAAGACTTCACGCGGTGTCTGGAGAATCGTAATCGTTCAGCACCGTCCGTGCAAGGTAACAGTCTCTCCCTGCACCTCTGTTCCTTGTCTGATATGGAACCGACGGTTATCAGATCCTGACCGCCTTCCAGATCACATCTCTGTCCCGGAACCGGGTAAAACAAACGCATCGGCCAGAGTGAAGCAGGGAGGGATTCCCGCACCGGCCGAGGCTGGTCAAAGGGCCTTCCTAGGAAAGCTACAGAAGCCGAAAATTAATTCCCTACCCACAACCGCTCCTCCACCCCCGACCCCCGATCTGAAATAAGTAGCCGTTCTTCACAGCAATATTAATAAAAGAAACGAATGTTATCAGACACTGTGAAGTTTTGGATAAGATAAGATCCCATAGACTTGATTATTAGAACTCTTGGTTCCGAGTTGGTGCCATTCGCTGGGGAGGTGATGCGTCCTTGTTGGAAGATGTCACTAAAGGTGGGCTTTGAGATTTCATGACCTTGTCCCACTTGCATTTTAATCTTTCTGTTCTGTGTTTGCCTTTAAAAATGTGGTCTCTCAGCGTCCTATTCTGTCTGCTGCCATGCTGTCCTCACCAATACGGACTCTTATCTCCTGGAACTGTCAGCTAAAATAAACTTGCTCTTCTGTAAGTTGCTTTGGTCACGAAGTTTCATCACAGCAACAGAAAAATGAACAACACAGGTACTGCATTCAAGTGTGTTTCTCTGAAAGTTCATGTGTCGTCATACAGTTATATCAAGTCTTCAGAAGGCTGTGAGGTCTGTTGAAACAAAATTGGCTATAGGCAGCTAAAAGTTGGGACTACTGAACACTCTCCTTTACAATCTGAACAATCAGTAGAGAAAGACCACTGTGGAGGCAAAAACATCCCATGATTATGTCTATGGCAGGGAAGGGTGGGGAGGAAAGGTCATAAGCACAAACATTTTCCCTTCCCAGCATCTCAGGCACTGTACGTCTTTCCCACTGACATCTCTATGCCTATTTCATCCTCCTAAAATCTATTTCAGGGCTATCCAGGAGGGCCTTGCCTTGCTTCCTGGCCACCCGCAGTCTGATTCTCTTATCCTTCCCACACTCCCTAAAGCCAGATTCCTTGCCCTTCCACTAGGGGGAAACTCTTCTCCTCTGTCTCTCAAGTTGGATAGAGCTAGCTTTCTTTGACCACTGATTTATTTCTAGAGGTCCTTGGTAGTAAATATTCTTCGTCAAACAAGAGAGCCTATTGTTCCTGGTAGAAGAGAACATTAAATGCTAAACTGAAAAAGAGTATAGAAACTTGTTGGAGGCAAGATTTCATACAAAAGATCACTTGCAAGAAGCAGATGGCAAAGACATTGCCAGAGGAAGAGAAATGAATTGACTGCCAGGATGGGGGACTCACAAGTAAGTAGCACACAGATCAATAGCAGCAAAAGGCAGCTGCAGTCTCCGAAAGTGGATGTCCTGAGGCTACAAGAGGCAACTGAGATCCAAGGGCTGGAGAGTTCGCCTGGCTTCTACCTTATTCTCACCTGTTCGTCAGTCCAGGACTACCTGGAAGCCAGAGGTCAAAACGGCCTGAGAAAGAAATTCGTTATGCTGTAGATCAGAGAAAGCAAAGGATAGTGATGGCCCTGACCTCATGAAAGCAACCTGACTCACATCATAATCCTTGTTATGATCAAGGCATTACATCTATGATAGGTATTTTTAAACTCCTCTTCCCTACCCCCTCCCCCCAAAAAAGGAAGGATGGAAGGAAGGAAGGAAGGAAGGAAGAAAGAAAAAAGAAAGAAAGAAAGAAAGAAAAGCTTACCAAGAGGCAGAAACAGAGGGAAACGAGAGGAGGTTCAGGAGAGGGGCTGGTGTGAAGGGCAGAGTTTTAAAACTGGATCAGAATGAACTAGAGGCCTCCCAAGCAAACACTTGGACAGCTGAGCTGAGGGCTGTGACTCTGGGCAATTATCTTGGAAAACATCTGTGCAGTTGTAACCACCACGGCAGGAAAGGAGACGGTCTAAAGAGAGATGCTGGTGCCCTCTTCTTCAGCTGACTATAAAATAATTAACCTCCAAAGAGCCTAATTTCCCTAGGAATTCCATGCTGGGGGAAGGGAAAGGCTGAAGATTTAGTGCCAGGATAGAAACCTGCCTCCCAGGAAGAGGCTTCACATGTCCTGAGGACTCCTTGGCTCTCCTTTTAGGAGAGACTGGAGCTGAGACAATGATACCTGGTGATGGGTAAGAACACATCTTGACCAGGGCCGGTTGTTATGGATACCTCTTGCCTTCTAGTTAACCTTAGGTTTCATGTTTCTATCATGAGTATGAACTTGGGGAGAGGCCACTGGACCTCTCTTTTCTGCATGTTAGATATCCTCTGCTTTTCACCATTATTTGTCTTTGGTTGCTCTTCCAGGAGACAGGTGGCCCAAGCCTTGCCTTTTGGAACTGCCAGAGCCCAGACTTTTATCATAAAGCATCCAGTAACACAATGACAATATAATCACCAATATAGGTGTCTGCTTAGGGATACCACAGAGAAGAGCTGTAAGCAGTTGATAAAGTACAGCTACAAAGTCAGTGTCATTACCCTGTCCTACTAGGATGTCATTTCCACAAGGAAAAGTACTTTTCACTCTGATTTTTCAGTCCTCCTGAGACACCCCTTACCCGTCCGGTCTCAGATGGGTGGCGAGTATAGCTACTGCCCTTTGTCTCTGTCAACCACCCACGCCTGCATCCTGTGACTTCCTCCACTACCCCTCTCTGCAAGCCTAGCAACTTGCACAGGATTCTTCTGGCTTGGGGAAGGGGGCTGCTTGGGTCTGGCTTCCCTTCCTCCCTTCTTCATACACACGTACACACGTCAACATACACGGATGGGGCCTCAGGACAGCAGTCACAGCTCCAGGATCCGTCAAGTGGGAGAAAGAGGGGAAGAATGGAGAGGGTGAGGAAGGGGGAGACTTGGAGGGAATGAAAGAAAGGGCCAAAATGAGAGAGGAAAGGAGGACCCGAGGGCAGAAAGGAAGGATTCTTTCCGTGTATTCTACCTAGTAACAGGTGACAGCTAGACACAGGAATACTATTGGCTGATAACTCGTGGCCGACCAATCCCAGGCTCTAAACGACTCAAAGGAAATTGTGAGTCTTGCAGGCGGAGTGGGTCCGCCGAGGTCTGCTGTCGTGAGTCCCCGCACTTTCAGACTAAAGGAGAGCGGAAAGTTCTTTCGTCTCTTCTATAGCAGTTTCTTCTCTGGTGGCGACTGTGCCCACCGGCTGGCTGGCGAGAGGAGAAAAGGCATGATAATCAGTATCTGAGGGTCAGAGAAAAAAAAAAAAACAGATTAATTCGCAGGTAGGGAAGGGGTGGGAGCGCTTGGAGACCTGGCAGGGGCTGTAGGAGCTTGGGGGTGGGGTTTTCGTGCTGTGAACGAAAAGCCGACACCTGGGGGAAGGACGGTCTCACCTATCTAGCTTTACTTGAGGTTCACAAGGAGGTGAAAAGAGGACAAGGAAGGGGAGGGGAAGAAAGGGAAGGAGGCTGGAGAAGGAGAGAGGGAGGAAGGAGAAAGGGGAGGAACGTGGTGATTAGGGAAAGAGCCCACCTGAGGAACAGGAAGAGGAGGAAAGGGGGATGGGGAGGAGAGGAGGAGGAGGCGAGAAGGCCAGAAAGAGAGGGAAAGGAGGAGGGAGGGAGAGGAATATCAAATGACCGCTGAAGAAACTGGACTCTGAAAAGACAACTGATCCTAAGACAGCAGAAAGCTGCCTGCCTGCTGCTTATGTTGTTTGTTTAATAGGATGTTTAGTGAACCCACCCATCAAGCTCGGAAGGAGTCTGTCCATCTAAGGCAGAAGTTGGAATGCTTATGAGACCAGCACAGGGACAAAAGGTACAATGGCCATGAGAACCGTGGGTGATTTCTCCTCTGTGCTTCTAGGTTTACTGTCCATATTTGATCTAGGTGACCCTGTCCTGAAGACCTATGGAGCCTGCTACTTCCCTGCAGTCTTGCCTGTTAGCCTCCCTTCTCTTCTTCCTGGTCCTCAGCCTGTTTGTGCTGGTCTCAGGTAAGGCCGTAGGCTTCTTGCTCCCGTTACCTTTTGAGAAAGCAATGCCCACAGTTCTCCTGACAGACAGAGTTAGGAGGTCTGGAGCTGTGCGGCTCACCCTGCTATTCTGAATGTATACCCTGGATTTTCTCAATCTTGTCCTAAAGAAAAGCAGCAAGAGCCTCAAAGGGGACCTGTAAATACTCCTGTAAAATTTCAAGTACCAACATTCAAAAGAGTTAAAAACAGATGAAGTCGATTTTAATAATATCCTTTGTCTAATGCCACATCATCAAATACTAATATTTAAATGCTTACTTTTCCAGGTGTGGTGGTGCACACCTATAAATTTGGGCAACGGGATAAGACTGCCAAGGGTTCAAGGCCAGCCAGGGGTTCATAATAAGAAGATGTCTCGTAAAACAAAACAAGGGGGCTGGGAATGTGGCTCAGTTGGTAGAGTGCTTGCATAACATGCACAGTTGTGGTTTGAACCCTGGGTCTGTGCCACACGCACAGGAACAAGTCCTTCCGAGCACTGGGTCTTCGGTGTGTGTTCAGTGTTCTGTTCATGTGGGTTCGGGTTTGTTGGTTTTATTTTGCTTTTCTTCATGGTGGACTTGCTCTATAACTAAAGATGACTTTGAAGAGCTCATCCTCCAGCCTCCATCTCCTGAGTGTTGGGATCGTGGGTGAGCATTATGCACAACTCAGTATTTTGTTACCGAAGCATTTGCAGCATCATTGAGTGGTTCCAAGAGACGCTGCTCACCAGCCACAGCTACCAGCCCATCTAGGAAGCCCCCGTGGCCTTGAAAAGAACTCGTCTAAGCCTTTTCAGTTGTCCAACCCTTTTAGTTCTCTGGGCCACTCTAGATGAAGACTCTCCAGGGCTACACAGTAAATAACCTGGAGGGATCTGTTCTAGTTTCATTTCTGTTGCACCGACAGAAAGCAGCATAGGAAAGAAAAAGGCTTAATTGGGTACAGATGCAGACCACAGTTCTTCACTGAGGGAAGTCACAAAAGGAATTGAAGGCAGGACTCCTTGCTATTCGATACATCACTGCCTCCAGCCAAGGAACTTACTTCCCTGCCAAAGAAGTGCAGGATAGGCCGTGGACATTGCTGCTGACTGGCTGGCTTCAGGATCACCTGCCTAGGGCATGGTGTGTGTGTGTGTGTGTGGGGGGGGCTCCTACATTAATTGGCAATCGAGACAATCCCCCATAAAGATAACTACAGACCAATCTGACCTAAGCAATTTCTCAGCTGAGGTTCTCTTCCGAGGTAATGCGAGGTTGTGTCAAGTTGACCGTTAAAACTAACCAGGCTAGTGTCCAAAGCAGAGCTTGAGCATGGCACAAAACTGTCACTACAGAGCCCACACTGGAGAACCGCAGAAACAAAACAGACAACGTCAAAAACAAACCTTAAGTAAGTTCACCATTTTGTGTTGTGTTGAATTTATAGCTTTCCAGGGCCGTGGCTTGAACACTCCTGAAACCCTAGAATACCACTCGAGTATGCTGGAAATTTAATGGCTGGAATTCCTGTCTGATTGTCCTCCTTTGTTGAATAGCCCAGTTTACTGTCGTGGGACCAGCTGAGCCCATCCTGGCCATGGTAGGAGAAAATACCACACTGCGCTGCTGCCTGTCACCAGAGAGAAATGCAGAAGACATGGAGGTGCGGTGGTTTCGGTGGCATTTCTCCCCGGCCGTGCTGGTGTACAAAGGCCATCAAGAGAGAACAGAGGAGCAGATGGCCGCATATCAAGGAAGAACCACATTCGTGAGCACAGACATCAGCAAGGGAAGAGCAGCGCTCGTTATCCACAATGTCACAGCCTATGACAACGGCATCTATGGCTGTTACTTCCAGCAAGGCAGGTCCTATGATCAGGCCATCATGAGGCTCCTGGTGGCAAGTGAGTCGCTCCACTTTCCTCTGTTGGCTCTTCCCACTGTGACCTTTGGGGTACACTGCTCTCTTGAACTCAGAATCATCACAGACTAGAACATTTCTTGCCTGTGATCCCTTTGATACAGGGAGAGTTGCTTCTTGTGTCCACCCGAGTGAGCTCTGCTAAGCGGTAACCATTGCTTCTAGAGTGACAGAAGAAAATGTGCAAGGATACCTGAGATAAACAAGCATTGCCCAAAAAATCACAATGGACATTTCACGGGTTAATAGTAATCGTATAGCCCAGGCCAGGCTTAAACTCACTTTGTTGTTGATAATGACCTTGAATTTCTGATCTTCCTACCTCCCTACCAAGTGCTGAGATTGCAGCCTGTATCACCATCATCCTCATCCCCAGATAATCTTGCCTTTCCTCCCATTTCTTCCAATAGCAACTGTAGAGAAAGCAACTGACTTGTGATGAGAGCAGATGTTAAATACAGCAGTAAAGTTACGTACTAGACTGTCGACCCCGTAGAGGTATTGAGTGAGAGTACTACCTGGAACAGTTTTGCAGAGATTCAGGATGGAAGTGGCAATTAAACTGGACATGCTGGGCAAGGAGCCATGGTTTTTTTTTTTAAATATTTATTTGTTTATTATGTATACAATATTCTGTCTGTGTGTGTGTGTGTGTGTCTGTCTGTCTGCCTGCCTGCCAGAAGAGGGCACCAGACATCATTACAGATGGTTGTGAGCCACGATATGGTTGCTGGGAGTTGAACTCAGGACCTTTGGAAGAGCAGGCAATGCTCTTAACCACTGAGCCATCTCTCCAGCCCCCTTTTTTTGTTTTTTTGGGTTTTGGTTTTTTTTTTTTTTTTTGTATCACACAATATTAAAGGAGAGAGGTTTCCTGATTTTGCTCCCAGTAGAACTGCAGGGTTAGCTGGTGGTACTTGTGGATTCCAGGAACCCCCCTATTCTTTCCCTGGAACCTTGCTTCATTGCCCTGCCCTGCTCTGATTAAGTCATTATAGAATGTTTAACTTGATAGTGTGTGTGTGTTTTGTATGTGTGCATATGTGTGTTTGTGGTAAATGCACATGTGTGTATATGTGTGTTTGGTTTTTCGATAAAGGGTTTCTTTGTGTAACAGTCCTGGCTGTCCTGACTCTTGTAGGCCTCAAGCTCACAGAGATCCACCTGCCTCTGCCTCCTGAGTGCTGGGATTAAAGGTGCCACAACCGCCCGTGTGTGTGTGTATTCTTACTTGTGTTACGCTTGTAGTAGCCAAAGGTGTCTTTCTCAGTTACTTTCCAACTTATTTTCCAACTTATTTTCTGAGACAGGGTCTCTCACTGAACTTTGAGCTCTCTGTTCTGCTAGACCGGTTGGCCACGTAGCCCCCAGCATCATTCCCTACCTCAGTACTGGGGTTAGAGACATGTGTCCACCCAAACTTTTGTTTAGGTGCTGACGATCCAAATTCAGGTTTTCACACTTTTGCAACAAGTGCTTTACCCAGTGAGCCATCTCTCCAGCCCCCCCCCCCCCCCCCGCTTAATGTTTTTTTAATTTCCTATTTTGTTTGTTGGATTGACTGGGTGATTTCATCCTTAAGTCTATTGTCTCTCAACCCTGTGGGATATTTTATAGAATTGTTTTTTTCCAGATTGTCATACTTCATGTGTGTATGTATTGTTGTTGTTGTTGTTGGATTTGTTGTTTGCTTGCTTGTTGTTTTGAGACAGGGACTCTCAAATATAGCCCTGGCTGGTCAAATTATTTTGAATCTTATTCCATATCAAGTTTTATGAGTGAGACTGGACGTCTTTAGCTACTTTGTTTCCTTGGCAAAATCAAATTGAAGATCCACACATGATGGCAAACACCTGCTTCCGCTCCAGTGCTTGGGACTTGGAGACAAGAAGATTGGGAGTTCTAGGTCATCCCCAATTCTATGTCTAATTCAAGGCTAGCTTGGGCTGTATGAGAGCTTTGTCTCAAAAACAAACGAAAGAAATCAATGAATACTCCAGTGTGGTGGCATATGCATGTAATTCCAGCACCCAAAAGCTGAGACAGGATTATTTCTGAGTGTGAGGCCAGCCTGAACTACATAATGAGGTCTATCTCAAACAACAGCAACAACAAATATCAAATAGAACACAAAACACTGAATTTTACCAAGTGCTTGAATTTCCTTTCTTTGGTATTACTGGGTGAGCTTGACAAAGAAACTACTCAATAAAAGTTTGTGGGGCATGCCCAAAGGGACAGGCATGTTCCACTGCCACATAATGTTCTCTCCAGCTGAAGGCTTCCAGGACACTCTTCTGACGACATACCCTGAGCACATGGCACTGTTTTGACTATCCATATCCCTCCCCCGACAGTGTCTTAAAGTAAGAAAGTTTTATAAGATTGTGGCATCCTGACAGATTCTTATTCTAAAATGTCCACAAGGCCAAAGCAGCTGAGGAATTTCCCACAGAGCACAAAGTGAGGTTCTACGTTGGCCTGTTTAGGTTGGACAGAAGATACCTGCTTAGAAGTCGGACGATTGGAGTCTGGCAGGATCAGTGAGCCTTTAATGAGACAGAATAGATACAGAAGCCGTGGCGAGCCCTGGAGCTGGAGCACAGTTGTCAGTGTGAGACTCCTTTGCTCTCAGCTTCCGGCACGTTTGGCACATTGGTCCCTTCTCTAACATCAGTGCCTTTCTTTCTCCCCATTTTTTCTTTCTTCCTTCCTGACTCATCATCCCTCCATCTTTTGGCTGCATCTTCATTACCCTTAGGTTCAGCCAGTTTGGACTTCCCTTTCCTTGGTTTCTATCATTAAGACCAGACCACTTAAAATACACACACGAAATACTATTGCTTATTTTATGATGCTAAGGATCGAACACAAGCCAGACACACACTCTCCCACTGAGCTTCATCCCTACCCATACCTACATACCTATCAGCCATTCTTTTTTTTTGAAACAAGGTCTCACTGTGTAGCCTGGGCTGTTCTGGAACTCACTATGTAGACCAGGCTGGCCTCCAACTCATAGAGAGCTTCCTATTTCTGCCTTCCTAGTGCTGGGACTAAACCAGCCACTCTTTTAGCTGAGCTCTGGTGTTTCCTTCTAGGCCTGGGCTCTAAGCCCCTCGTTAACATGAAGACCCTTGAGGATGGGAGCATCTTGCTGGAGTGCATATCTGAAGGGTGGTACCCGGAGCCCCAAGCTGTTTGGAGAGACCCCTATTATGAAGTCGTGCCTGCCCTGGAGGAAGACTATACAGCTGACAGAGGAGGCCTCTTCACGGTCACCATGACTGTGATCATCAGAGACTGTTCTGTGAGGAACATGACCTGCTCTGTTAACAACACCCTGCTCAACCAGGAGATAGAGAGTGTGGTTTTCATTCCAGGTTAGTCTTCTGCTCTCTGGAGCTATATGGGGAAAAGGTAGGCTCCTCCTCAAATAGATTGATATCTGGAGGAGTAGCATTGGGAGACTAGACGATGGTCTGAAGAAGGATCTTTGGCTCTGCAGAGCTGGAGGCTGGAGCTGAACTGAGGTCACATCCCTTGCTTGACACAAGAAGAAAATCACAGACATGTGAATGGGTAGTGATCAATAGCGATAGAAGAGCGAGGAATAGAAGTGTTACGTTGCTTCATCCTGTAGCACCACACTTGGGAGGGCAGGGGAACAGCCTGGGTCTCACTACTGAAACTTGACTACACTTGAACTTGTGATCCTCCTCCCTCTCCCTCCCTAGTATTGGGATTCAGTATGGGCCACCACGCCCAGCACATTGGAGGCTTTTAATGAATAATAAACTGGATCTCTGTCCCTCAGTTGAGAAGAAACTGTATACAGCAAGGGCAGAGCAAGGAGGGAGCCATTGCCAGGTCCGGGGTCAGAATGCTGGAGGCCTTTGGAAGGTGACAGCTGTAGAGATTTAGCAGACTGCTAACCTTGGCATTCATCCATGGGATTCATCCCTGGAAGTCCTTGGTGACCCGACATTTTTTGTTTGTTTTGTTTTTTCAAGATAAGGTTTCTCTGTGTAGCTTTGGAGACTGTCCTGGGACTCACTGTGTAGACCAGGCTGGCCTCGAACTCACAGAGATCTGCCTGCCGAGTGCTAGGATTTAAAGCCTGTGCCACCACCGCCCAGCGACCCTCCATTTTTTTTCTCCTGCAAAGTCAGAGGTCAGCCAGTAAAAAGCCATCATCTTTCTCCTGTCCTCGTTTCTGAGGGAGAATCCCCCTCCTGAGGGGGAACTCTCCAGATAAACTTCCTCCAATCAGCACACTTAGTCCTGATGTCCTGTCTCTCACCACACAGTACTTCTCTGGCTCACTTTCCAGAATCCTTCGAGCCCAGCCTTCCTCTCTGGATGGTGGTCATGGCTGTCACTCTGCCCGTTCTAATGTTGATCCTTCTCACATCTGGAAGTATCTTCCTTGTCAAGAAGCAACACAGGAAAAAATTGATCTTGTCCGCTGAGAAAGAAGTCGAATATGAAGAAAAAGAAGCTACACGTAAGGAACTAGGGAAAAGAGAACTTAGAAGGTAAAAGAGTAGAACAGTTGAGTTCACTGTTCTTCAGTTCAAGGCCAGCCTTAGCTACGAAGTGAGTTCGAAACCAGCCTAGGGGGCTGGAGAGTTGGCTCAGAGGTTAAGAGCAAGGACTACTCTTCCCAGAGGTCCTGAGTTCAATCCCAGCAACCACATGGTGGCTCACAGCCATCTATAATGAGATCTGTTGCCCTCTTCTGGCATGCAAGCATACATGGAAGGAATGTTGTATACATAATAAATAAATAAATAAATAAATAAATATTTTTTAAAAAACCAGCCCAGGCTACAATAGAACCCTGCCTCAAAATAAATGACAAAAAAAAAGGAGGAAAAGGAAAAGAAAGGACACCACCCTTCTGACAGGTAGAAGCTTGCACTATATGGACCCGTAGAGGCAGCAGAAGGGCTCAGAACTCTCATATCCTAATAATTAGGCTATTGGTTCTTCCATTCCAATATGTAAGCATTATATCATTTGCTTGGTTCCAAGCAGAACCATGCTATTGAACAAAAGCTAACCATAAAACAGTCCTAATATTGTCCACTCACCTGGTTCGTACCACTTCTGATTTCTGACAGTTCTCAGGTATGGGTGTTTTATTAGTTACTGTTTTCATTGTTGTGATTAAGTTATCTGACAGGGGTAGACAAGATGGTTCAGCAGGTAAAGGGACTTGCTGCCAAGCCTGACGTCTGAGAGGAAAATACTCAGAAGGAACCAGATCCTACAAGCTGTCCTCTGACCGCTACACCTGCAACATGGCACGTGTGCACACACACAGAGTAAATGAAAAATTTTAAATTTATATGAATGAATATTTTTCCTATATGTATTATGTGTACCAGATGAATGCCCGGTGCCCACAGAGGTGAGAAAGGACATTGGATGTTTGTGAACCACTGTGTAGGTACTGGGAATGGAATCAGTCTTCTGCAAAAGCAACCAGGGCTCTTTTTAATCACTAAACCATCTCCTCAGATCCTAAACACCTTTGCTGTTTTTGTTCTATTTCAGTTTCATTTGGTTTCTGAGACAGGGTCTTACTATGTAGTTCTGGCTGTCCTAGAACTCACTATGTAAACCAGGCTGGCCTCAAACTCACAGAGATCCACCTGTCCTTTACCTCTGGAGTGCTGGGATTAAAGGTGTGTGCCACCACACCCAGCTTCCTAAACTAACTCTTCTCTCTGTCTCTCTCTCTCTCTCTTTCTCTCTTTCTCTCTCTTACGTTTATTGGAGGAGGATTACACACCCTTACCTTCGTGTAGAACTCATAGGACAATTTGTGAGAGTTGGTTCTTTCTTCATGGGTCTTGGGAGTTAGACTCAGGCTTGGCAGTAAGTGCTCTTGCTCTCTGAGCCACCATGATCAAACTCATTAACCTAACTTAGAAAACCTCTCAAGACAAACCTAGGTTTGTTTCCATGGTGATTCTAAACCCCAAGGTCACAATGGAGATTAACCCTGTCCAGTGGGAAAGAAGGGTTTGGTGCAGTAGGTAGAGCCAGCCCCACATCACTTAAGACAAATCCAAATTCTCTCAGCTGCCTACTGAGGACATTACCTTGTTTCTTTTTCAGGGCAACTTCAAGAAGAATTACGTAAGTTTAAGCTTCCCTGACCTACTTTCTGCAGTGTGTGTTCTGCCGGCTTAGCCTCATGACATTCACCTCTCTGTCACTTGCAGGATGGCGAAGAACCCTCTTACATGCCGGTGAGTATCTCTGGCATCCCCTTATATCCGGAGACTTCTCCCCGCACTAAGGGAGGACATGAATCAAGGACTCAGGGCTCTGGACTGGGGAGGTAGGGATTGAGGGCCTCTCTGGCTGTAACCCATTAATGCTGGAGCCCAGCTCTGTCAGGGAAGCAGACCAGCTTCAGTCTGCCTTGACGTTTGTTTTCCAGAGGGGGTTCTGTGAGCGCTGCAGAGGTTCGCATACCGGACAGCTCTCCCACAGCTCTCGAATCCTGAATTAATTAGAAAGAAGACATTTCTGTTCTGAGTATTTATTACCTGGGAGTTAGTTAAAATGAGCAGATGGATCCCCTTATGGCAAAAAGACAATATACTTCCTGGTCCTGATCAGGGACGTAATTACTAGGTGTCCAGAAATGCTTCCTGCTCCCAGGACACCACCACTCAGTAAGTCGGGTGAGGGAGAGCTCAGAGCTTCGCCACCTTTTCTTCCCAAGCATCATTTCTTTCTTCCTGTGTCAAGAACACAGGCTTCACAAGATACCTTGGCAGAAGGACTTTTGCTCCTTAAGGAGAAATTCAAATGCTGGGTGGTGGTGGTGGTGTACACCTTTAATCCCAGCACTCAGGAGGCACAGACAGGTGTATCTCTGTGAGTTCAAGGCCAGCCTGGTCTACAAGAGCTAGTTCCAGGCCAGGCTCCAAGGATACAGAGAAACCCTGTCTCAAAAAGAAAAAGGAGAGAAATTCAAAATTGCACTACCTACTTGAGACAATCATACCAACATTGTTACAATCAGACATACCAACATGGGGGAAGGAGGCTATCATTCAAACATGACAGGCAAAATAGACAGGCAAAGTAGACTGACCAGGCAAGATGGTTGGCAAACACTTCCTGTGCCCACAGCGGACACTGCTATGAGCTTCAACCTAGCTGAAAATATTCCCCTCTTAAGTTTGCTGCACAAGCCTCTCAGCTTGGCTTTGGGGGACATTTGCTCTCCTTCCATATTCTTTGGTGTGTACCCTTATCAGACATTTAAATCAGTTGTCATCTGGTTGAAGGGATGCAGAGACCAGTGAAGAGATCCTGTGCTAAGCCAGGAACCCTGTGTTGTGAGACTCCCTTAAATTCCTTAACTGGGGAGAGTGAGAGACTAAGCCTCTCTTGTTGGTCAAAGCCAAGTTGGATGGCTTCTACTAAGAGAATCCCAGAGATCTTATATTATGGTAGACACTGGGGCAGATCTGAGGGTGCTGGAAGGGGAACCACTCACTTCAGGTCATTCACTAAACGTTCTGGGTTTCTTGGAGCCCCGGTCTTCTCTACAGAAGACAGTACTTCTGTACGTAAGAGAAAAAGGAGCTTCAGTGTGAGCTTCCTTAGATCAGAAAAGCCTTCTCTGAAAAGGCCATCACACAGAGGAATTCCACATTAGCTCCCAGGACCTCAGGGGGAACCACAGGTTGCGCATATTCAGAAGTCTGAGATTTCAGCACTAAGCCTGAGCCTTCTTCTACAGCTGATGTGCTTCTGGATCCAGATACAGCTCATCCTGAGCTCTTCCTGTCAGATGACCAGAGAAGTGTGAGACGAGGTGCTTCGAGGCAGAGCGTGCCTGACAACCCTGAGAGATTTAACTGCCGGCCCTGTGTCCTGGGCCAGGAGAGCTTCTCCTCAGGGAAGCATTACTGGGAGGTGGAGGTGGAAAACGTAATGGTGTGGACCCTTGGCGTTTGTAGAGACGATGTTGAAAGGAAAGGGGAGGCCCTGCTGGTTCCTCAGAATGGCTTCTGGACCCTGGAGATGTTTGGAAACCAGTACAGAGCCCTGTCCTCCCCAGAAACTATCATACCTCTGAAAGAGCGTCTTCACCGAGTGGCCATCTTCCTGGACTGCGAAGCTGGAGATGTTTCTTTCTACAACATGAGAGACAGATCACACATCTACACATGTCCCCCTGTGGCCTTCGCTGGACCCCTGAGACCTTTCTTTAGGCTTGGTTCTGACGACAGTGCCCTCTTCATCTGCCCAGCATTCACAGGGGCTCAGGGAGTCACAATACCTGAGGGTGGGCTGATCCTATATAGGACAAGACCAGTTTCTCTGAGCCATGGAAAAAAGCCATAGCCTTCACCTCCCTCTACACAGCACCTTAAGATGGAGAGCAGGCCCTATGCCCCTGCCCCTTCGCTCACTGCGAGCATCTTCCAGCTGCCCCCTTCATGCATAATTCAGCCCCATGGCCCAGTTCACTCCTTCGGCCATTCATTTGCTTTTAACTAGGGGACCCAGTCTTATTAATAGGACCACTGCTATCACACAGCTCTCGGAGAAGAAAGCGCGAGAAAGGGAGGGGCAGAGAACTTGCAGCTTCAACATGCTGCACTGGTCACAGTGGGCAAGTCAAGGGCAATAGGCTTCATCGGGATGTAAGAAGGAGAGAATTTCATAGGAAGGAGACAGAGAAATGATATATACAAATGATTAAGCTCTTCTTTTGGGTTTATGCCTATTAAGATTTATTATTTTTGTTGTTGTTTTTATCTTGAGACACAGTCTTACTGTGTAGCACTGCTGTTGAAATCTTGACTCTCTTGCCCCATCTTTTTTTTTTTTTTTTTTTTTGTTCTTGTTATCATTCTTTCAAGACAGGATCTCATTATGTATCTCTGGCTGTCCTGGAACTCCCTGTGTACTGTGGGCTGGCCTTGAACTTATGGAGATCCGCACCTGCCTCCTGAGCGCTGTAATTAAAGGTGTGTTCCACTACACTGGGCTTCACCCCATCTCTCCAGTGTGGGAATTATAGGTTTATGCAACCATGCATACCTAATGTCTTTTACTACTTTGGCATTTGAAGTTGAAAACAGAAAAACTATATGTATTAATGTATTAATTTATGTTAAATTAATAAAAATTAACCATAGATTTATATGAACAGTATACCTTTTTTTTTTTTTTTTTTTTTTTTTTTTTTTTTTTTGGTTTTTCAAGACAGGGTTTCTCTGTGGTTTTGGAGCCTGTCCTGGAACTAGCTTTTGTAGACCAGGCTGGTCTCGAACTCAGAGAGATCCACCTGCCTCTGCCTCCCAAGTGCTGGGATTAAAGGCGTGCGCCACCACCACCCGGCTAGTATACCTTATTTTAAAAGCTATTTCTGTACTGGCTGTGTTCCCCACACACACACTTTTCTTTACTTCTTGTTTTGTCTTTCAACACAGGATTTTGTTAGGAATGTTTCCTAACGCAAGTTCTCTGCCGACACAATTTCCCAATCAAGCCAAATTAAAACAAGCCAAATTAAGAAATATCCAGGTTTAATGGGATTCCTGCACCAGGAGGAAAGAAAAGAGACCACATGTTCTTTTGGGAGTTCATTTAAGTACCCTGTGGAAGTGACCCCTCCTTGGAGGGGTCAAGACCTGGCATGCTGGGATTTGGAGTCCAGACCAATACAATTCTCAGTCCTGGGGGCTAGGATAGATGAGAGAGGCTGGGGTCTATGCTCCCAACTTAACATTCCACACTCTTTGGATATAGGAATGACAGGAAATTGAAGTGATAGGCTCTCTAGGAAAGAAGGTGTTAACTCAAGTCTGGCTACTCCCTGCAGGTATAGGGCGATGTGGAGAAGGGGAGAGCTGGGTGTTGTGGGTCCACACTCAGCGAGAGATGTGGTGGAAAGGCATCCCATGTACTGTCATCCCAGAGAAGCCAGGCATCTGTTCCTTGGGGGAGGTGAGAAGGCAGGTGTCTAGGAAGAAAATATTGCTATTACCAAAGATGAGTGTGCCAGGATGAGGAGCAGGTAGGCCCTTCATTGTGGCATCCTGGAAAACCGGTGGGTGGAAGTTCCTGTCTGCTGGACAGACCAAATGTCCTGAGTACGTGCCCGCTTGAGCCTGGAGAGATGGTACCAGCATGGGTGTCCCAAGAGCTTGGCAGACGAGAGGGTGGAGAGGATTACCGTGTGAGGTCCTGTCCATCGAGGTTCAAGAGACCTAGGAGTTAACTGAGGAGTACTCTGTCGCCTGGGGAGAGCGGGGCAGGTTTAGGGGCATTAGGGTCCACTGGTGTGGTGGCAGGGAGACAACTGTCAGCATGTGAATGGAGAAGGGACCTTAAAAGGGAGAGGTAGGGTAGGAACCCCACCAGTGGAGGAGTTTGAACTGGGAGGTGATAGTTAAGGAGAAAGGGCCTGCCATAAAGCAGCTCAAAAAGGTTTAGGCCAGTAGGGAACGTGGGGTGGCCCTGAGGCGAGTCAGGGCAATGGGGAGAAGGGAGGACCAAGATAACCTGAGTTCAGTGAAGAGTTTGGTTAGTTGTTGTTTGATGAGTCCATTGGCCCTCTCCACCTTTCCCGAGGATTGTGGATGGTAGGGAGTTAAGAGATAACAGAGTTTTTTATGAATAGGTATTTAAGTGAAATCAACTTGCCAATCGTCGCCCAGTTGGTGTCTGCGAAGCTGGTGTAGAGACTGACCTATGTGGATAGGCCCTTGTGGGTTGGCCTGAGCACACATCTTGCAGGAAGAGTGAACCTGTAAAATACGATCTCAGAAATGGGTGGGGTCAAAAAGGGGCTCCAAGAAGCAGAACAAAACTTTGAGGAAGCAGCTAAGGATAACTCCACCCAGTAAAGGTGCTGGGCAAGCAGGTATCACTAAGAAAGAATGAGAGAAAAAACTGTCCTGCAAAAATGCAGGGCAGTGGCAAAGTTTTAAGTGGGGAGGCTGCCAGAAATGCACTGTGCAGACCCACGGGACCCCGAAGTCCTGGAAGGCAGCCTGGTGCACAGACCTGCCAATAATTTGTTCCGATCTGGTCATCACAGAAAAGAGCAAAAGGAGCTAAATGCCTTTAGGTCCCCTACAAGACATCTCAAAAGGATTTAAACAACTGTCTTAAGTATGTCAACATCTGTTGTAAAATAGTCTTAATTTTTTTTATTATATCATAACTTATTTTGTGTATGCTGGATGGATGGATGGATGGATGGATGTGGATCTGTAGTGTAGCATTCTCCAAGAATGGACATGTGTATATAAAGGCCCACAGGTACTAAGTTTGGCACCTTCCTGAAGACCCTTGCTGGATTTGGGGGCTGTGTGAGTGAGTGTTCCACCAAATAGACGAACTAACGTATAATCTTGAAAAGACGTACAGGAAAGTGAGTGAAGTCGGTTTGAATCCATTAATATTAAACTCAACTCACCATTAATGTGTGGTTATTGCATTAAGAAGATAAATTAAAGCGCTAACCTTTAGTGACATTTGGCCAAGACTGAGTCCAGATGTGAACACTAACTCTCCCTGTGTCCCCTCTCCCCTGCTCGTCTCTGTTGTAGGAGTCTGAATCTGTGCCTGCCTGTGAGGCTGTCTTGTGAATCTGTTCCTCTGTCTGTATCTGTCTTGATGTATCTCTCTCCAACAAGGGGGTTCATGCCTCCCATACCTGCAACTAAACAGCACAGAAATTGTCACATGGGGAAGAAATAAGGGACACTTTACAGAAATCTTTAGCAAGGTATTATTACAAGGGATTAAGCCACAGATTTAAATTGACCCCAATTAAAGGGTTAAGAAACATAGTTATCAAAAATCATTGCTTATCAGGCATTCCTTCTGTGAGACTGCTTTCAGTTTCTATTTTAGTGATTCCAGCAGATGATGATCAACAAACAGGCTCCATGCTACTTCAGAACCGTGAAAAAGCAGATAACAAAAGACCCAACTATGAAATCATATAGGCTGTTAAAGATGATTACTGGGAAATACAAGAAAAGTAAGGTTAGTTACTTTGTCCTCTTAGAGGTAAGTTATGCAGACAGATTGAGTACACAGTAGGCTAGCAGTCTTGTGTACACTCAAGCTGTATAAATGAACAATGGCTGTGATGTTCAGTCTCCTAGAATGGGAGAACTACCTTATCCTATTGCATTGCCACACTTAAAAAAAAAATCTTTTTGTTTTCTTAAAGAACCAACATGTCAGTGTAGATAGTCACTTGCCCAAAGCTGGTCAAGGTATGATGTACTATAGAGGTGGCCCAAAGTGCCACAATCACTGACAAAAGAAGGCTTGGATGAAGCAAGGCTTGGTGTACACAAGGGACCCACCATCCCCACCCCAGGCCCTGAGCATCCTAGAAGTTGTACTGATTTTTGTAATCTAAAATATAGAGCTTGCCTGAAGTTCAGAATGCAGAGCTAAGCCACGAGTTAGCCATCTAGGCAATACAGTAGTAGCCCACAACCTTAATCCCAGTACCCAGGAGACAGAAGAAGGATCAATGTGAGTTCAAGGCCACCCTGGGCTACATGAGATTGTCTGAAAGAGAAACAGAGCTCACACAGAGGTGATCCCAGCACTTGGGATCACAGGACTTTAATGTCAGCACTAGAGAGGTGGAGACAGGAGTGATATGACTGGGTGGAGAGAGGAATATGAGGTGGGAGGAGACAGGAACTCAGGGCAGTCTGACATATTTTGAGAAGGCATTCGGTCTGAGGAGTTGTAGAGACAGGATATCCCAGAAGGTCTGAAGATTTCATACAGGTAAGAACTAGTAGGCTTTTATTATTAAAATAATAATATCTGACACTGGGCTTTTATTATTAAGATCAATTAGAATTGGTGCTGCAGGAGCTACTGACCTCTCTAAAGATGCTAGGAAACAGTCTTCTTTTGGGTTGTTACAGCACCATCTTCCTCAATCCTCCCCAATAGGACTGATGCTGCCATACATCATCGTGGGGGCCGTAATAGGAGTAATTGTTTGGGAAAAGAAGATAAGAGAAAAGATAAAGAAATGGGCAGCGGACAAACAATAGGTAAGTCACAGAAAATGAGGTGACTTATGGAGGGTGGATCCACTTTTAAGGGTGGGTATTATAACTGCCTCATTAGAGAGAATGTACTTCTCTTGAGCCTGTTATTTCAGCTTTCCAAAGTAGAATGGAAAAGCAAAGATACTAAATACCGGAGCTAGAAGAGGAGTCCAGCTCCTTAAACCATAAAACACGGGAGGTCACACCACCAGTTCCCACCCCTCAATGATTAAATTCTAGGAGAAGATCCTGATGGCAAACGAAGGACTGAAAGTAAAAGACAATGTGAAAGGAAATGCTGAAGGCTTGAATCTGATCAGTTGCGCTGAAAGGCTTCGATTCTATGCCAGTTGACAGTGATGGAGTTCACAAGGAAAGCCCTTCGTCTTTGACTTCTGATTGGTGAAAATTGTAACTGTAACTTTGCAACAAATGCTTGTGCTTCTAAATATTTGTGCTTTTAAATCCTGCTTCTTCCCCTGCTCAGGGCTGCCAGAAAAAGCAAGGCTCCTGAGTCCTTGTCCTGCAGCCCTGATTGACCACTGGCCCGCTTAAATGGTGATTTATTAAAGTCTTTGGAACCCATAAGTGTTGTCTCTCTCTTCTTCCTCATGGCACACAGCCAACTGGCAATAACATTGTGTTTCGATTTAATTTGTTGGGATATCAAAGGGCATACAGGATCTAGGGGAGTACAATGTACTCTAGAGAGTCACAATGCCTTCCTTAGTAAGAGATAAATATTAACCTTAGAGACCCCTCGAGCTATGGATGTCCCCATTCCTAAACTAAGGTTTAAAACTTCCATTGTTTTGAGTTTTCACAGCAGACACATTAGTGTTTTGGATAAGTTTCGGTCAACATGACAGGAGCTAGAGTCATTTGAGAAGAGAGAGCCTCCACTGAGAAAATGCCCTGCACAAGAGTCCTCTGTGGAAGAAGCCTGCGCGTCATTTCTTAGGTAGCGATTGGTGTAGAAGGGCACAGTCCACTGTGGGCTGGTGATCCACGGATGTATTGTCAGGCAGGCTAAGGATCAAGGCAGTAAGCAGCACTCCTTCATGGTCTCTGCTTCAGGGCCTGACCTGACTTTCCCTTCAGGACTTTCTGTGATCTGTACCTGTCAGGTGAAATAAGCCCATTCCTCCCCAAGGTGCTCTTGGTCATGGTAATTGAACACAGCGGTAGAAACACTAAGATGATTGGTCTCCAGTTTACAGCAATGTCCTGAGCCTATAAACACATTCAAGGTTTCTTAATAAATCACCCTCACCTCTAAGGGATCTCTGAAACCTAAAACAAGAAAGTTTTGATCGTTGGTTGAAACTAGGCAAGCCAGTTCCGTGCCTAAGAGAATATTAAACTGTACAATACATAGGCCCTGCCCACCCTGCCCTGCCTTTCTTTCATCCACACCTAATTCAGCCTCACTGCATTTAGCGTCTGTCATGGGCCAACTGTTCATGCACCGGAACACAGCTGAAGAAGATGGGAATTTATTGGGAAAGAACAAAAAGGAGTAGGCAACAGAGGGGGAGGTACTTTAGGAGGCCGAGGCAGGGGGATGTGGGTGCTGGCAGTCTGAGGTTTGGCAGTTTGGGAAAGGCCTCCTGGGAGGAAAATGTGTTTTTGTATAGCATGGGGACCAAGAAAGAATGGGCCCTGGGAGAGTTTGGGGGAAGCAGTTTGAACAGCAGGCAGAGGAGAATCAAAGCAAGAAGGGACTTCATGAAGAAGTGGCCCATGTGGTTAGAGCTATAGTGGAGAATAGAACGTGGGAACACTTTGGCAAAAGCAAACCAAGTATTCCGAGTGAACCAGGCAGCTGTTCTTCCTTAGTAATGATTTTTTTTCCCAGAGTTCAAAGATTGATGTACAACTTTTCACACCCAGGAAGAAATAGGCTCAATCTTCTGGCACCACTGTCTACCCCAGCGTCTGTAACACCAAGCACCACAGTCTTCATGAATCACTACTGACTGCAGGGACCACTTAAACAGGGATGTCTGAGAGAAGCTGGAGAGGTGGGACCTCAGGTGAGAGGAGGATTTGCATCCAGGAGAAAGGAGATTGGTGCTGCTCTAAGAAGCCCCATGTGGAAGAGCCCTGCTGGTGCTATAGCCAGGAGGTGGGGGGTTCTTAGCTCTCCACTGAGGCTGGGGTTAAAGGACGACCTCTGGTGCACCAGTTTCGGCTCTGTGGCTGTGATCACTGTTCTCAAAAGCAATTTGGGGAGATAGTGGTTTCTTTAATCTCACACCTGATTGACAGATTGTGGAGGACTTTGTGATGAACTTTAAACCAAGTGTATTTCAGGAGGTTAGGAACATCATCTGAGAACACAGTGATAAGTGAGTTCAGTAAGATTGTGGCAGGAAAGAGTTTCTTGGCCTGGAGAGGAGAGAAAGAACAGAGAACGATTTCAGGGAAGGCCACAGGGCAAGGACACAGAAAGTGAGGTAAAAGTTGACCAATGGTTCATTGAGGCAGCACCTGAGAAATGAACATTCTAGTCTCAAACAGGGTAATCTAAATTCTCCTTTAGGTTATGTTGGACAGGTTAACAGGGCATTGAAAAGTACAGCAAGGGATGGGGTCTTCAGTTCTCAACACTCCCAACATTGGTTGCTCAGTTTCCATGACCCTGACCATGATCCAGGTGCAGTAACCAAAATAATTAATGTTCAAACAAACTAAACAGAAACTAAAATAACTGGAAATGGTATAAATGAAATTGTCATGTTGTCTGAAATCACTACTGTGTTCTGCCATAGAAATGTTGCATGGTTACTCTGCTCTCACCTAACATTGCATGAATGTGGGGTTTTTGTTTTGTTTTTTACTTTAACAATACTACCCCTGAACTTCAGCATCAAGAACTTTCTGAGGTGTTAGCCTTCCAATAATAAAGAACTCAGTTTAACATTATATGTGTGGTTGGTCTGTGATTTTCTCACCTATCCTGTTGTAGATTATCATGAGAATCTCATGAGACAGTACTTGGGAACCATCTTGTGCTACAATAGGGTAACATCTGAGAACCTAAGAGAGAGAGCTCTTTCTTCATTTCCTAGTATTTCCTGAAGCAAAGCCCTCTCCCCTCTCTACCCGCACCCAACCATGGACAACTGTAACTTCACTACCATTTTTCATCACGTAGGTCAAGCCCCCAGCATTTGTATAAAAGGTCAGTGTATTAAACTTGGAGAGCAAGCTACAGGAATACCTAGAGGAATAACGTTCCAAGTAGAAAGAATGAGGGATTCGTGCGTAGGTGTGCGAAGACAAAGAGGCTGCCATGCCTAGAGACTGGAGGTAACTGGGATTGAGAGGGAATTTAGTGAGTTATTTGGTCCCTGTCAGGTCCAAAGGAAACCCCAATTCCCCAAACTCCAAAGTGCAGTCCAAACATCCAGAAATGAGCTCAACCTGAACTACACAAGGCTATTGATGGCGAGATAAAGGCCAGGATTCTTTCAGGAACTGGTGAAACTGGCTCCCATCTGTCTGAAGGGACAGAATGGCTCTCCGTTGACTTGTCCCTGCAATCACAGGCACATGCCGGTTGCCAAGCTCCCTCAATATCACAGTGTTTGTTACACATTTCAAAGCTCCCACAGCAATTTCCTGGCCCTTCCCTACCCGAAGCCAGTCACCTTCCTGATTACCTTGCTGTTCTCACTGCATTTTCTCTATTCTACATCGCCAGCTAGTCTCCCCTCTCTCACAGATAGTGTGTGGGCCGTGTTCAGTCTACTTTCTTTCTTCTTTCTGGACTCTTCCAGATGCCTCTGGTTGTTCTCCCTCTTGTATCTATAATAAGAATCCTCCCTTGACCCTCACCCTGGAGAGGTCATGTGGGCAGTTTCTTGCATACAGTCACAATATGACAAATGTGCTGCTATGAGACCAGCTTTCAGCAGCTCAGGAACTGAAGAGGAGTCGGTGAATAATCACTCAATTGATTTTTTTTTTTTTTATCGGAGGGAGTAAAACTTAACTCTCTGGGTGTAACGCCTGCGTTACTCTCTACAGTACAGTTAGCGCTACTGTACCGTTTGTGAGCAGGGCAAGGACCTGGAGATTAAAAGAACACACAAGAGACCTGGATCATTCATGAGGAGATAATGTGGAGCGCCGTTTATTCGAGTTTAGGAAAAACTTTATATACCTAGCTGCTGCACAGTGGAATTCCCCTCAGGCAGGTGGGAAATTACCAAGCCCAAAATAAGAAGGAGGAGGAGGAGGAGGAGAAGGAGGAGGAGGAGGAGAAGGAGGAGGAGGAGGAGGAGGAGGAGGAGAAGAAGAAGAAGAAGAAGAAGAAGAAGAAGAAGAAGAAGAAAAAGAAGAAGAATAGAAAAACATCTTTTAGTTAATCAAATACTTTGATCAAAGAAGATTGCATTACTCTTTCTCAGAGGAGTGCTCTTAGACGTGTGTTGGCAGCTTCCTTTCTTCCAAATCAACTTACATTGGGCCTGCTAAAACCCTCTGTTGGCTTCTCCCTTGTAAAGTATCACAATCTAATTTCAAAGAGAAACTGGGCAGAGTCTCAGCCAACCACAGCAAGCTAAAGCCATTCAGAGGCAGTCTTTCAAAGCGGTTCAACCAATGGAACCGCTGATTCAGAGCTTCAGCAGCGCCGACTCGCCTTCCGCGTGAAGAAGGCAGCGGGAACAGACACTGCCAAAGTTCTTAAGCGTGGGAGACGGTTGATGGCCTGATAGCCTCCTTGTTCGAGATGTAAATTATAAATGGGTGGCAGGAGACCAGTGAGGGAATGACAGCTGCGCTTGGGACACCTTTTAGTCAAAACACCCTTCAGTCAAATAACTATTTTAACAAAATAATATTCTGTTAGTTTTTCTCAGAGTGTCACAGACACGGGTTGGCAGTTTCCTTTCTCCCAAATCAACTTTAAGTTTGGCCTGAGAGAGGCACCTAAGGGCTTCTTCCTATAATGAAACGCCACTGAGCTACAACCAATCAGAGGCAGTCTTTCATAGAGGTTTAGCCAATGGCACCGCAGATTCAGAGCTCCCGCCGCGCCGGCTCAAGAAGCGCAGGGGTCGGGGGCTGTTGGGTGACTAATTCTGAACAAAAGGGGAATGTTGACCCTGACGTCCTCCTCCGTGTCGGAGCTAAGCATTATAAATGGGGGGGGGGGGGGGGGGTCAAGAGGTGAGTGAGGAAATGACAGCTGAGCTGCGGTGATGAGCGACCGGCCTGGCGAGCCGAGGAGAACGCGCTGTGCGGCCCGGAGGAGCTCCGTCCAGCAAGACAACCCGGTGCAGACAGCTGTACCGTCTTTTCTTTCTTTCTTTCTTTCTTTCTTTCTTTCTTTCTTTCTTTCTCTCTCTCTCTCTCTCTCCCTTCCTCCCTCCCCCCTCCCTCTCTCCTCCCTCTCTCCCCCTCCCTCCCTCTCCTTCCTTTCTTTTTCTTTTTCTTTCTTTTTTTTTTCTCCCCTGAAACAAGGTTTCTCTGTAGCTTTGGAGCCTGTCCTGGGACTCTCTTTGTAGACCAGGCCCTGCCTCTGCCCCCTAGTGCTATTGCTGAGATTAAAGACCTGGGCCACAACACCA